TGCCCCCGGTGTTTGGAATCCAATCATCACCTGCCCTGGTGTGCGGGCGGCGGGAGTCTAAATGCCTCCCCGGGCCTGAGAAGTGGTTATTGTCGTCAAAACAGAGACCGCCTGAGCAAGACCGGTGCACATAGTCAGAATCTAAGCTAAGGCCTCCTAAAATCCTGGAATCACGATGGGCAAAGCTGGTGCCTGAGCTGGTCCCGCCGGTGCACCCATAACTGGGACATGATCCTGATTAGGGGCAACTGGTGGATCTGCAGGTACTGCCCTAGCTGCTGTGCAGGCTGCACCTCTGCCCCTACCGCAGCCTCTACCGTGACCTCGGCCTCTCGCGGCCCTGGCTGGTGGTACTGGTGGCTTCCCATCCTGCCCAGTGGTACGTATCCTCACGTTCTGTGAGAGATTGAAATAACAGAAGTTTAGTTACCAGAATCAACAGATTCGCATGATAAGAATTCAAGAATGTGAAGTTTTCCTAAGGGTTCTGCAGCCTCTCGAAGATAAGTACAGACGGCTCTGTACTGACCCGCAAGACTCTACTAAATCTGCTCATGACTCGTGAGACCTATGTAACCTAGGCTCTGATACCAACTTGTCACGACCCAAAAACTACCGTCGTGATGGTGCCTATCGTGGAACTAGGCAAGCCACAACTGAACATTTCTAACACAATAAAACACTTTTAAAAAGGATAACGGCGGAACAATTAATATTAAAGAAAAGCCTTTTCAAAATAGAATTTATCAAAAATACGATACAATCCATCCCAAAACCGGGGTGTCACTAAGTACATGAGAGTCTAAAACCAGAATACAGCCCACTACAGTATCTAGAGAATAAAACTGTAAATACAGATAGAATAAGGAAGGAGAATCAAGGCTCGCGAACACCATGCAACTACCTCGACTAAAAGGTAGTGACGAACTCAACCAGTACAGATAAAATGGAAATAACTGTGCAGAAACGTAGGCATGCTTTCAAATTAAATAGGCAACTCAAAATAATAAAGTAAAGCAGATCCGAACAGTGTAAGGAATATAACCCTGCTATCTCTACATGCCAATGCACATACTGTATGTGATGCACCATGCTGGAAACCTCATGTGCTCACACTCTCGAATGCTCAACCACTCGGTACTGTATATGGCTCATACGGCCTAGGGAAGATCCATCCCGAAACATATACATCACTAACTATAAGTCTACCAGTACCGAGGAAGGCCAATCCAGCCTTGTGGAGAAGATCCATCTCCAGGTATCAAGTACTTCGGTCAAGATCCATGCCCAGGAAAGATTCATCCCTCAATAATATCAATCGCACTCACTGGGGGTGTGTTACAGACTCCGGAGGGGCTCCTACAGCCCAAGCACTATCATAACATAAATATAACCGCTGCGGCGTGTAGCCCGATCTCGTAACTGTCACTCATAATCAGGCTCTCAGCCTCACTCAATCATCACTCTCTCCAATCTCACTCACGTGCTCAAAATATCATTAAAACTAGCCCGAAACAGTAATATGGTGAATCAATAAATATCAACTGAGACTGAGATATGATATGAAATGGATATATATGACTGAGTACGAAATATCAATAAAACCAGTAAAGTAACAGTTAAACATGATATCTAGCATGATTGACAGCTCAATTACTTTGTCACATGATGAAAACACGGATATCAACAAGGTATTATCACTACACAGTGCCCTGGAATCAACCAGGTAACAATTCTCACCGTGCACGCCCGCACGCATGTCACTTGGTATGTGCGTCACCTCAATACCAATCGTAGAATACATATTTTGGGGTTTCGAACCCTTAGAACCAAGTTTGAAAGTGTTACTTACCTCAACTGCGCAAAATCCTACTCTGAAATGCCTTTGCCCCTAGAAACAGTCTCCAAATGCTCTGAATCTAGCCACAAGCAGTACGAGATAATTAATATAGGCTAAAGGGATCAATTCCACAAGAAAACTACTAAATTATAGCCCAAAATCCGAAATCAGCTCAAACCCGGCCCTCGGGCCCACGTTTCAAAATCTGACAAAAGTCACAAAATCCGAAAGCCCTTTAACTCACGAGTCTAAACATACCAAATTTACAAAAATCTGACATCAATGGGTCATCCAAATCCCCAAAATTCATTCTCCAAATCTCTAGCCTCAAACCCCCAAATTTCACCTCAAAACTATACAATCTAGGTGGGGAAAATCAGTGGAAAAACAAGATTTATGATTTAAAAAAAATGTGTACAAGAAGCTTACCTCAATAATTCCCTCGAAAATCCTCTCCAAAATTGCCTAAGTCTGAGTCCAAAATGTTGAAATAAGACTAAAATCGCGAACCCTTGTTTTTAAACCTTCTGCCCAGACTTTTCGCACTTGCGGAGCCGCTTCTACGGTAAAATTCCCGCTCCTGCGGAAGTCACCTATCCATCTACCTCCGCTTCTGCGATCACGGGACCGCATCTACGCACGTCGCGGGTGCGGGAAACCCATCGCACCTGCGGATGAAACTCACATTTGCGCCCTCCTGCCCGTTTTCGCGACCATCGCAAATGCGGGATAATCTTCACACCTGCGACCTCTGCTCAACTCTTCCTTGGCCGCTTCTTCGCTTCCTTTCCCGCTTCTGCGGACTCTTACCTGTGGTGCCCACTTCGCAGGTGCGACTACACCAGTAGCAGCATCACTTCAGCTGCTTCACAAATTCCAAACCAAGTCCGTTAACCTCCCGAAATCCACCTGAGGCCCCCGGGACCTCAACCAAACATACCAACAAGTCTGTAACCCAATACGAACTTAGTCGAACCTTTGAATCACCCAAAACAACATCAAAACACAGATTACACCCGGATTCAAGCCTAAAGAACTTCTAAACTTCCAAATTCCACAAACGACGCCGAAACATATCAAACCACGTCTGATTGACCTTAAATTTTGCACACAAGTCATAAATAACACCACGAACCTACTCAAATTCCCGAAAATCGAATCCGACCCCGATATCAAAATTTTCACTATCGGTCAAATTCGCCAAAATTCCAACTTTCGCCAAATCAAATCTAATTCTACTACGGACCTCCAAATCACATTCCGAACGCGCTCCTAAGTCCAAAATCACCTAACGGAGCTAACGGAACCATTAAAATTCAAATCCGAGGCCGTTTACACATAAGTTGACATCCGATCGACTTTTTCAACTTAAACTTTCAATTAAGAGACTAAGAGTCTCAATTCACCCTGACATCACTACGGACCCGAACCAACCAACCCGGTAAGACATATAACAGCTGTAGAACACAAAAAAAGCAAAAAATGGAAAAACGGGGCTACAACTCTCGAAACGACCGGCCGGGTCGTTACAATATACTGCGTACAGGTTGTAGTGTGAGTGACCCGCCTTAGCCTCGTCACTACTTCGTCGAGGTTAGGCTGAGCACTTACAGAGTACATAGGGTCGGTTGTACTCATACTACACTCTGCACTTCTTGTGCAGATTTTGGCATTGATCCCAGCTGATCGTGAGGCGTAATAGCTTGGATTTGCTCATTGGAGACTCAAGGTAGATCTGTTGGAGCCCGCAGACCTTGAAGTCCCCTTCTATTTTCCCCTATTTTTACTGTTTCTTTTCATTCAAAACAGTTGTATTTCTTTCAGACTCTGTTTGTAGAAAATCCTAGAAGCTCGTGAGTTGTGACTCCAGATTCGGATTGTAGTAAATATTATGGGCATTTATATTATTCCGCACTCGGTTTTATTTTATTTTTGGCTTAATTGAGTTTATTTATTTAAATTGAATAATAATTGGTTTAACGATTCTCTAACGTTAGCTTGCCTAGCTAGTGAAATGTTAGGCGTCATCACGGTTCTGAAGGTGGGAATTCCGAGTCGTGACATAAAAACGTACGTTTGCTTCCCCGGAAAGGCCCAAGCCTAAATCACTCCGTTTCCAGAACTGGAAATCCAAAGATAAGTGGCGCACACATTTTCACACACTATCATATTCCATATACATAATTTTCTGTTAAAAGCCACGAATGTTGTTGGCAAAGAATTCTGAGTCGCTTAGTTTGACAGCTTAGCAAATAGATTCCGACAATCTCATCTAAAAAAGAAGCTCTTTCCTCCGAATATATTTCTAGGATCTCTTACCTAAGCCTTATCTGTGAAAATGTCTCAAACTAGTATAGAAGTGAAAGTAGAGATTTCTCTAACCATTTAGGTTAAAGTATACATGCATCCTAGAGGAAGTGAATGAAACATTTGAATATAAAAGAACACGGAACACTTGGTAAAGTCTTCTTGTCTTATCATGCGAATCAGATTAAGGATAGATGAAAACACAATACACGGCAATACCTGTCCAGTAATATAACTGGCTGCAGGATTGAGTGCCAGGAATTCCACAAGTCCAGCAACTTCTTCTGGTTGACCACAACGTCCTATATTTATGAAACCAAAATTAGTCAATGCAGCTATGGTTTAAAGGAACTCTACTGTCATTTTACTTGTAAGATATAGATGGGAACCATATTTCCTAAAAATTATAATTGACAGGAAAAGTTACTCTTACATGTGCTTAATAAATGAATTTTTTATAAATAACAAGTATAAAGTCTAGGAAATGTTGGATGCAAGTGGAGGAAGGGAAATCTTCCATATAGCAAGATTCAAATTCTCAGTTCAGATTTAGTTTTAATTACTTCATTTTCTAGAGTCAAAATTATCTATTAATGCACGGGAAATCTGGTTAATGCATCTGATGTTGTCCTATTCTACTTGGAGTCCTTGTCCTAGAAGTCAAAATTACTCAATTTGTTGGTCGTTTTTGTATGAAAAACACCGGTTCAAATTAACTGAAAAGGTTACTCTCAGCAATATAGCAGATGACAGAATCTGAGACAATGACATCAGCAACTGAAATCCGTAAAAGGGAATAGGTGAAAATAGTTGAGTTACATCAAAACTATTTCATTCAAATCAATTTCCAACACAATAAAATATGAATACTCCAGCTGAAATCGACTCAACATCTGATGCTTCTAACAAAATAGGAAGCTAATTGATGTGACAATTTTACTGTAGCAGTACTTTATCTTTCAAAGCTAGGTGGGAATAAACTATCTCCCTTTGAGTAATCTGTCATTATCTGCTCCGTCCCTTAACCTTCACTAAGATAAGGAAGTACTCAGCCCACAACCTGTGAAATCAATCTAGTGCTAGCATCACAAATTGCCAGCCTATCATTGCGCTTCTGATTCTCTTTTGCTTTCTGCTTTGACGAGCATGTGAGCCCAATAAACTAGGAATGACAGTCAAAATTTTGGTTATTCCGCCGAAGGGAGGAATGGCCCCTGTCACACATGGTTTCTGATTGTTCTAGTTATATTTCCATCGCATATGAAGTTTTGGAAAGGTCAGTGCAGATGGCCTCAGTGATCACCATGTGGTGTAGACAGTGCTCATAACTGCTGTGGAGTCCATAGATTTAGCCCTTCATTACATGTGAAGGATCTCTGGAATAAATAAACAAATGCATGCTGCTTATGCAACAGTTTTCAAAAACTTGAACCTTTCCAGACAACTATACCTTTTTCTTTTTCATCATGATTTTAGCTGCAGCCTGCAACAAGAAGAAAGATCCCTCATAAGGACCTTATCATAAAATATATACAGGTTTTGGGAGGAGGGGTTGGGGAATGCAACCAGAACACTAATGAAACACAGCCAATGTACCTGTGTGCAGAGAAAAACTCCTGTCAGACTAAACTCAATAACCTCCTGCCACTGAGACTGATTCATTCTCATCAACAAGGTATCACGCGTGACACCTGAAAAGGCGAATAAGATAATTAGTGATTGCACATTCTAATGAAATTTAATGTAAAACAGGATGACTGTCTCTAACCTGGATTAAAAGATACTGTTTCACTCGTATATTTGGGGTAAAGACATATTCCTCTTTAAGTAGAAAGTCACACATGTTCTTTTGGATGCTTAATGTAAATTTTTTGGTACTATCTTGGTGCAAAATTAATTAAATGTGTTTTCCACTTCTCCCACAAGAAAAAACTAGCAAAAAGGAGGGTTGCTAACCTGCATTATTTATCAAGATATCAACTGTTCCCCATCGACCAACCACCTGCAGGTATGATACTTTAGCTGGCTACAACTTCAATAAGATCCACTATTAACTAATATTACTAACAAAAGAGCGTGCTTACAGTTTTTATCATGGATTCTACATCTTCTTGTTTTGAAATGTTGCCTACAAAAGTAAAGGCTTCGCCACCACATGCTTCAATCTACAAAATAAAACTTCTTGAAGTCACTCAGGAAGATCTTTTGCCTTCTTTGAGGAATATGAGAAACAGCCTAAAGCATGAACCTTATAACATGTTCCCACACCCTAGAATAAATGACTGTTGGTTGAAGTAGTCAATAAGAGTTTTAATTCTAATACGCAATCAAACAATGGATGGAAGTGTTTTTCAAGTGAGTTGTCAGACATTCTTATATCAAGCCTTCCAAGCATATGTTTCTTTGGCACGGGGAAGGACTATGGGCAGAAGCAGACATTCTTTATCTTTGAACGAGTAGAATAAGAGCAAATTGCGTTCATCTACAAGGCTGAGAAAAACCAAAANACCAAAGCAATCGACGATTTCCAGGTTTTCAGGATGGAACTTATAAGCAGATCAGCAAAACCATACACAAAACAGGAACCTAAAACATTCTTGGTAGACAAGGATTAGCCAAGAACAGAAAACATAACCATTTGAAATGAAAAGGCATAAAATATAAGCATTATGACTTTACCGATCCATTATCATATATATCCATGACTTAATAAGATAAAAGGATCAGAAGCTAACAATATTTATGCTATAATGGAGGTGATTTATGTTGCTCGCCTATGCAGTTTAAGTATTTAAATTTTAGATTAATTGCATTGGAGAACGAGTCTTGCATTGAAGAGTAGTTTGAGTTTTACTTCCAGCTTTCTCAAATGTGTAGCTTTAATATGTAATGAAGCCCTCTTTTACGATATGAAGATCATATTTCACTTTATGTTTTCACAGCTGAAAGTATGCACACGACAAACAAGAAGGCCAACAGCTGGTGGATAAGATTAATGTCCTTGAAAGAACAGCTCCTACACAAGAATTTCAGTATTTGCCCTGGTGTAGCTGATATCACTTGCTTCTATCAGTTAAGCTCATTTCCCATTTAGACCCAAGAAAAAAAAAAATCACAAGCATAATATGTCATAAGCCAGAGGAACTCCTCTCTAATTTTTGAAAAACTCTACCTCCCCTCTCATGAACGGGCAACTACCCTTGTTAAATGAAGATTATTTTGACATATTTGCACTTTCATCATATAAATCTTAAAGAGATATATTAGAAAGTTAGTCATATATAGTAACAATATTTATTTAATATTATAACTTTACATAGTTCCTGAGTTAATTTTTTTTTTTTTTTGGGTAACCGAGAAATTCCATGTGAGTTGCTCTCACTTTAATACCAGGCTTTATTGCAATGCTTTAATGAAACTCGAGGAGCATGGCCTGCGCCTCTCAACAAATCAAAATTAGTTGGTTATATGACTAAAATTCAATGATATAACAACTTCAGACTAACTAAAGAGATTTCTTCAAGGTACCTTCGAACTATATTTTAAGTTGGAGAGGTCCACCTAAAAGTTGAAAATTTGAAGGACAATGTAGATAATCCAGCAAAAGTAAAAGCAAAATAAGAAATCACATAGAAGATGAAGTATTCTGCACGATACAGATACTCCTCCAAACATCATGCTGAAGTCAGATATATAGTTCATGTGTCAAGTAATAAAAAGAGCTTTTCAGTAGGAGACAGCAATCTATACCAGAAAGCAAAAACTATATTCAATTATTACTGAAAAAAGGAACATATACCTCTTTGGAAACTTCTTCTGCGTCCTTTGAAGATATTGCATAGTTAACTAGGACCTGCAAACAACATTGAACTTTAAACCAAGCAGGTTTGCTGGAGTATGCAAGAATTTTATAAATTGATTGACTTTAATACCTGTGAATCCACCTATGTAAGCCTTTAAGACTAAGAACAATATTGAAAATTTCAGAGAGATTAAATATAAGCATTCAACATTTTTGAAATGCCTGACCACTTCATGTGGTAAAGTAAGCTAAGATTTCTAACTAAATATACTAGATAGATAACCAGGAGACAAAGTACTCAAGCAAGAGGGTAAAAGGTAACACTGACCAATCATCTAAGTTGAGCTAAGAGGAGAGACCCGCTTCCCTTTCTAGTTGGTCCCGAGAAAACTTCTCCTTCTTAGCGGCAATGTTTCACCCAAAAACAATACAGACAAGTCCAAAGTAGTGTTATTTCACACTCGATGTGACACCTTTCAACTAACTAATTTACTTTTTGGACATCTCAAACTATTCTTTTAGAACTTGTTATACTCAAAACAAACTATTTTAAACATTTTACTCTTAAGAGGAAAGCAAAGAAAGTTATTGTTATTGGACAGACAGAGTACTTCCACTTGTTTCCCTATTAAACTATTGTCAATGTAAACACAATTAGAGCAACTACCATAGCACATTAAAGCTGATGCTGTTTGACAGTTAAACCACAGAGGTTGTCATGAAAGAAAATGTTTCATTCACAAAAAGAATTTTTCTTTGGGGTATTTTCTAGCAGTTAACTGACCTTACAACCAGCCTTTCCCAAAGCCAAAGCAATTGCCTTGCCGATTCCTCTAGAAGTTTCCGTGACAATAACGACAGGACCTTCAACTTTTGCAGCAGCATCAACTCCAGCTTGTTCAGTGGTTTCCACCGGAGCTCTCACACCTGATCATATCATAGTCCCTTTATCCACCTATACAACTGATTATAAACAGAGGAGGAACATATACAGAAACACGTAAATGACTAATTAACCTCCTGTGCCGATTCTTTCGGTAAACCCAGCGCCAAGAATGAGTTCTTGATGATAGGAATTTACGCTAGAATGCGTGCTGGTTGGTTTACTGTTAGGAAGAAACAAGAATTAGAAGAGTTTTGCAAGATTTTAAAGAAAATGTAAGCAATAAAACGTACGCCATTTTCAGAAGTTCCATCTCTCTGAACGCGCCGCCAACTGGGTCTCGAATGCGACATCGCGCTTCCTCAGCGATGCATCGTATGGCCTCCGCCTTCCTTTCGTCCGGCACCACCATAGTTAACATCCGCCCAAAAGCGTTGCTCCCATAGATTCTTTTGATTGCATGATAATCAGGGATGTCAAAAGGTGAAAAGAACTGAAAGACACACCGTTCTTTCATACACTTACTCTTTTTTCTTTCGAAAATGTGAAGTGGACAGGCCATGTGTTATGTACTTAATCAAACAATTGGGAATCGGCAAGAAATTGGGAATTTTATTATCAACTATCAAAGAATTGGCAATAGTTGAATTCTGTCTAAAACTAAATCTCCAGATGTTCCCTGAGAAAGAATAGAGAAGAATGGTAAGAAAGAGAAGAGAAGAAGAGAGAGAAGTGGAATTGTTGCCAGAAAATTTTTAAAACGGATGAGAAAAAGTCATTTGGCGGTTTTAGAATAAAATTTAAAGGGTTTTGCTGTTAGCATTGTATACAAATTTAACTTCTCCAAAATGCCCTCTCTATTTACTGCCACCTCATTAATTTGAATGGTTTTTTTGTCTTTTAACCAAATCCACATTTCATCTTTAACCCCTTTCACACAGGGATGTTCGTCGGTCGGTACAGTACGGTATTTAGATATTTCGGTTCGGTATTTTCTGTATTCGATATCCTAAAATGTAATATCATTACCGTACCTAATTAAATTCGGTATGATTCGATTTTTGGTCTTTCGGCTTCGGTTTATTCGGCACTGTTACTTCGCTTTATTCGGTTCTAAAGTAGCTTCTGAACGTTATATTTAGAGGAGAATAACACCTTAACTAGCCGGCAAAATCAATCTTATGAATGCAATAACACTACACATCATATATGGGACTTTTATAAACAGGAGCATAAGATTAGAATAACGTTTACAAACTTCATCAACATGTAAGTATGTCTGGTCTAAAGCTCTAACTTGTATCTCCATAATATACCAGACACTAGGAAGCTTCTTAAATGTGACCAAAATAAGTTTTTCACAAGTGTTATTTACAGAAATCATTCGGGTAATATCCATTAACCACATAGACAAAAATAGGTAGCGCACATGCTTTAACAAAAGAATATGGAACTAGAAACATTCTCGTGAAGCTCTCTGGTAACTGGGGGTTGCAAGGATGACATGATATTTAAAATTAATCAGATATATTTTTTTGTACGGTATCGGTATTTCGGTATTTTTAAAAAAAATACAAAATACCATACCTAAAACCAAATATTTTTAAAATGCAAACCAAATACCATACCAAATACCAAAATACCAAATACTAAATACCAAAAATTTCGATTTTGATATGGTAATTCGATATTTACCAAATTATGCACAGTCTTACTTTCACCTCTCTGTCCTCTACTCATTCTAACCATAATAATTGAAGAACGAACCCAAGAGATTGAGTCGAAGAACAATTTACATAGATGAAAAAAATGTAAAAATTACACGGGTCGCCCCCATTTAACCTATACCCACTTTTTAAAAAAGTTTTAACTTGAGTACCCACTTTTTAAATAACTTCGGGCCTCTCTCTCCTCCTCCTTCGTTTTCTGAATGCTGAAGCTTGAGATATTGTTATGCGTTCTAGTCTAATGATTCATATATATACCTGCTTATCCCATTATGTCCAGTTTAGTCTTATTCACAATAATTTAACCTTTTAGATATTTTAGCTTTACAGGCACATTGGTTTTTGGTTCTAATTTATCTGTAGTAACTTGTTTTCATGTCAAAAATATTTTTCATTCTTTAATCTTTGAAATGAACAGCATCAAGCGCTGCTAATCATGATCTATTAAATTCATTGTTGTTTAGTACTATTTCGTTTATGTACAATATGTTCTTTTGTTGATTTCACGACCCAAAATCCCAACATGTCGTGATGGTGCCTATCTCGATACTAGGTAAGCCGATAATCTCAATAAACTATAATTTCTTTTAAGTTTGAAAATGTAATATTTAAATACTGATATGAACACTCCCCAAAATCTAGTGTCACTGAGTACATGAGCATCTAATATGAATACAAGTCTGGAAAAGTACGGTCTATAATAGTTTAAGACCAAAATACAGTAATAAGGAGATAGGGAAGGAGAGACATGGTCTGCGAAACACGGCAACTACTTTTGAATCTCTGAAAAATCAGCTGTACGGAAGAATCAACACCCGCTATGTCCGTAAACACCTGAATCTGCACACGAAATGCAGGGTGTAGTATGAGTACAACCAACTCAGCAAGTAACAATAATAAATAAGAAACTGAAGATAGTGACGAGCTATACAATTATAATTCATTTTTCGCAATTCCAACAAAGAATAGACATGCTTTCAAATCCGGCAGTTTAAGTCAAATCAATTTTATACAATTCAAGTTCATGTAATCCGGATATAGAATCTTTTAGAAATTTCACCACAATAACAGATAATAACTAAGTACATCAACCAATGAAAAACAAGTATAGCCTCTCAGGACAACAATTACTCACTGGGCTCCCAGCCCTCAACACTCACACTCAATGGGTACCCGTGCTCACTGGAGGTATACAGACTCTGTAGGGGCTCCTACAGCCCAAGCGCTATAATCTGCACGGCCAACTCACATGCTGCACAGACAACTCACGTGCCATAATATAAATATCTGGATCCGCACGGCCAACTCACGTGCTGCACAGCCAACGCACGTATTGTAATATAATATAAGGATCTGCAGGGCCAACTCACGTGCTATAGTATAATACAAGGATCTACACGGACAACTTACGTGTTGCACGGCCAACTCACGTGCTATAGTATAATATCTCACAATCAGGCCCTTGGCCTCACTCAGTCATAAAGCTCTCCAGTCTCTCGGGCTCTCAACAATCATAAAATCAGCCTAAACAACAATGATATGATACATCAATAATGAACAATAGAGACTGAGATAAAATAATCAAGTAAATTGTGACTGAGTATAAAATAACAATTTAAGCACGTAATTCAACATGTACAATACTTTTGTGGGTCCCAACAATACCAACATATAGCCTAAGCATGATTTCTAGCATGACTTATAGTCAAATTTCCACAACACATGAAGAACACATAACTATCAAAAAGCTATTCAGCTTTACAGTTTACACAGGACGGACCAAGTCATAATCCCCTCGGTGCACCCCCACACGCCCGTCTCCTAGCATGTGCGTCACTTCCAAAATAATCACATGACACAAAATCCAGGGTTTCATACCCTCAGGACCAGATTTAAAACTGTTATTTACTTCAGAGCGTGAAATTCTTTACTCTGCTATGCCTTTGTATCGAAAATCGGCCTCTAAATGCCTCGAATATAGTCTCAAATAATTCGATTCAGTCAATACTAATTGTTGTAATTAATTCCATAAGGAAATACTATTTTTCCAATAAAATCCGATATTAACTCAAAAATCGCTCGTGGGGCCCATGTCTCGGAACCTGACAGAAGTTACAAAATCCGAAAGCCCATTCAACCACGAGTCTAACCTTACCAATTTTACCAAAATCCGACCTCAACTCGACCTCCAAATCTTCAAATCTATTTTTCAAACCTCTAAGTTCAAATCCCCGATTTACACCTCAAAAATATGTAATTTAGTCGGATTATTCGATGATAATTTAATATTATGGAGTAGAAATGATCACAAGGGACTTACCTCAAGTTTTCCAGTGAAAACATTGCTAAACAATTGCCCAACCCGAGCATGAAATGCCCAAAACTAGCAAAAGCTCGGAACCCCTCTATTTTTGTACTGTCCAGGGGTTTTCGCACCCGCGGTGATTTCTTCGCAGTTGCGGTCTTCGTACCCACGGAAAAACTCTCGTGCATGCGGTCTACGCATCCACGATGATTTTTTCGCAGCAGCGGTCTTCGCACCCGCGATGATTTCTTCGCGCATGCGGTCTTCGCACCCGTGATGATTTCTTCGCGCCTGCAGTTTTTGCACTCGCGGCAAAATTCTTCGCACCCGCGGTGCCTGGCCAGCCCATGCATTTTCGCTTCTGCAAAAAATTCCTCGCTTCCGCGAGCTCGTACCTACGGCCCTTTTTCGCGCAGGTGCGATCACACCAGATGCCTAGCTGCTTCAGCTCCTCCTCCAAATCCAAAATTCGATCTGTTAAGCATCTGAAACTCACCAGAGGCCCTCGGGATCCCGTCCGAACATACCAACAAGTTCCATAACATAAAACGGACATATTCCAGGCCTCAAATCATATCAAACAATATCAAAACGACGAATCGCACCTCAAATCAAAATCTATGAACTTTGAACTTTCAAATTCTATATCTTGTGCCGAAACATATCAAATCAATCCGGAATGACTTCAAATTTTGCACACAAGTCATAAATGACATAACGAAACTATTCTAATTTCCAGAATCAGATTTCGACCACGATATCGAAAAGTCAACCCCCCGGTCAAACTTCTCAAAATTCATCTTTCGTCATTTCAAGTTTAATTCCACTACGGACCTCCAAATAATTTTCTAGACACGCTCCTAAGTCCAAAATCACCATATGGAGCTATTGGAGTCATAAAAATTCAAATCCAAGGTCGTTTACACATAAGTCCACATCCGGTCAACTTCTCTAACTTAGATTTTCAATTATGAGACTAAGTATCTCAATTCACTTCGAATTCTTTCCGGACCCGAACCAACTACCCCGACAAGTTATAAAACAACTGTAAAGCATAAATTGAGCAGTAAATGGGGAAACAGGGTTATAATACTCAAAACAACCAGTTGGGTCGTTACATTCCCCCCTACTTAAACATACGTTCGTCCTCGAACGTGCCAGGAGTTGTTTCCAAGGCACCAAATCACTATTCCATCTTACCACGCACGTACCCGGGGTTGATCCCACGTCATCCTATTCTATATAGGCCTGACAACATAACATAACTGAAAATCATTAATTTAACCTTAGCCCAAAACTTGGATCCAAATTTCTAACATCCAGAATTCTTTTCAAGACCCGAATCTTATATCTACACACTATATAAGCCTCAACAAGCTGTATCCAGCCATAACCATAATCCCATATATAATCACATAACATACTACACAACTCGCATACTCGTAGCACCATTTTTTATCACAATAACTACTCAAAACCAACCAAGTACTACTATAAAAACCTGAATGTAACAGAACCTCATTCCAAAACCTTCGTACACTGCCAAAGATAAAAAAAAACAATCAAAAACTCATAACCACTCATTAGTTCAACTAGCCATGGAGCTCTCTCTCTCCCAACCAGAGCCACAATC